CGATTTAATATCACTCCATATGCAATAATCAATAATAGAAAACCTAATGTGAAATTTTTCCATGTTTTCAGATGCAGGTGATTTATTATGAATCTTAAGGACAACCTTTCGAAATTTCAAGAAAAAGCTGATGAAGGGATTTTCGTTGGATATTCGCATAATTCAGTCACCTATCGAGTGCTAAACAAATGAACACGAAAAGTGGAAGAGACATTCAATATTACATTTGATGATTATTATATCAAACAAACTGAAAAACATTTTGAAAATCATCATATTTTGAAAGAAATTCCTAACGAATCTGAACCTTTACAACCATTGGATATTAATTACGATTTGATTTTTGGAATTTCAGATCAGGGTGTTGATGTTAAAGTTAATGCCAATGACAATCACATTCTTGAATCAACAAAGTTCAATGATCGTTCAACATCACATCATCAACCAATGGAAGAAAGTATGCATATTAATCAAGTGGAGGGGGGAACACTTGGATTCGAACACTATTGTTGAGGGGGAACATTATTTCGAGGGGGGAGAATGAGAGAGTGAATGTTGATGTTGAGGGGGAGCAAATTGAAAAACAATGAAGATTTTTATGATCTTAATGATGCATGTTCAATTGCGGGTTCAGAACATAATGATTTATATGAAGATGCACCTTTGGAATTTGATTCAGCTTATCCACCAATGGAAAAATGGACAAAAGATCATCCGAAGGAGCAAATAATTGGTAATCCACAAGAGGGAGTCTTAACAAGAGCTCAAATTTGTGCGAAGAATGAGGTATTAAATATTCATCAAGAATTTTGCATGTTCAATGTCTTTATCTGTAAAATTGAACCAAAAACAGTTAATATTGCAATGGAACACTCAGATTGGGTTTTTGCAATGCAATCTGAGTTGTCTGAATTTGAATAAAATAAGATTTGGAGATTAATTCCTAAGCCAATTGATGTTTCGATTGTCGGGTTAACGAATTTTCAAAAATAAAACCGATAAAGATGGAAACATTGTTAGAAACAAATCCAGGCTTGTTGTTAAATAATATTCTCAACAAGAAGGAATAGATTACGAAGAAACTTTTGCCCCTGTTGCAAGACTCGAGGCTGTTCGTATATTTTTGGATTATGAAACTCATAAAGACTTTGATGTTTTTCAAATGGATGTGAAGTGTGCATTTTTAAATGGAGAGCTTGAAGAAATTGTTTATGTTGAACAAACCCCAGGTTTTATTAACGAAGAATATCCTGATCATGTTTATATCTTAGATAAGGCAGTTTATGGATTGAAACAAGCACAACAAGCATGGTATGCAACACTAACATCATTTTTAAAACAATCTAAATTTAAACAAGGATCAGTTGATCCCACATTATTTCGAAAGAAAGTTGGGAATCATCTAATGCTTGTTCAAATTTATGTTGATGATATTATTTTTGTCTCAACTGACCTTGCCTTGTCAAGTGGATTTGAAAATTTGATGAAAAGCAAGTTTGAGATGTGCATGATGGAAAAAATCAATAATTTTCTTGGGTTGAATATTCATCAAAACAGAGAAGGAATTTTTATTAATCAAGTAAAATACATGAAGAATTTTCTAGAGAAGTTTGGATTGACGAATAGCACAAAATTATGAAATCTGATGGCAACTGGCATAAAGCTGACACCTTCATTAGATAAACCTACAGTCGATCTAACTTTTTACAGAAGCATGATAGGTTTGTTACTTTATCTTTCTGCTAGTAGACCTGACACTATGTTTTCTATATGTAATTATGCTAGGTACCATTCAAATCCATGAGAACCACTTCTCACTGCTGTAAAAAATATATTTCATTATCTTAAAGGAACGATTTTGTTAGGATTGTGGTATCCTTTGAAAACTGGGCTCTTTGTTCAAACTTATTTGGATGCAGACTTGGGAGGTTGTAGTCTTGATAGGAAAAGCACAAGTGATGGTTGTCAATTACTTTATGGCAAATTAGTGAGCTGGCAGTTGAAGAAGCAAACATGTGTCTCAATTTCAACTGCTGAAGCAGAATATGTAGCTGCTGCTGCTTGTACTTCACAAATCATTTGGATTCAAAGCCAATTACAGGATTATGCAATTAATATGAAAAAGATTCCATTATATTGTGATTCTCAAAGTGCTATAAGAATTTGTCATAATCCTGTGCAGCATTCGAAGACTAAACATATTGCTTTTCATTATCATTTTATCAAGGATCATGTGGAAGATGGAAATATTGAAGTACATTTTGTGAAAACAACACATCAGTTAGCTGATATTTTCACAAAACCTTTAGATGAAAAATCTTTTGTAAGAATTTTGGAAGGACTTGGAATGATAGATGGAAATTCTATTCCATGCGAAAAAGGAGACTGATGGTCAGAAAAAATTGGTTCAGAGACACATCATCAAAGAAAAAGGTTACTGTTCATAGTCAACTCTTCGAATCCTTCGAATTCGTATAATGGTAATTTTTTTAGTGCTTTAAATTTCGTATGTTTTTAATAAATACATTTTTTTATTTTCGAAAAATCAAAAATACCAAAATGATTTTTTTTACAAAGATTCAAAAACAACAAAAATATTTTTGTTCTTTCTTTCTTTTTAGTTGTTTGTTGCAGAGTTGCATACTCAATCTCTTGGAGTAGTGCTTGCAGTTCTAGGGTTAGGTATTGTTCACATACATTGAACTAGTTAATATGTCCCTAGAAGCATCCTGCAACATATTGACTAAAGCCTCTAATTGACTCAATGTTCAAAAGCCTTAATGAAATTTTCATACGAAGATTTCTTCCCAATTAGGCTTGAATTCACATTAGTCTTCTGAGCTACCTGACTCTTCTCACATGAGTTAAGAGTTTACTTTTTGGTCCAACATAACAGAGGTACATGTTCTTTCTTATACCAATCTTTTTCATCTCAAAATTCTTACACTATCACACACGAAGACATATGTCCAAGAGGTTTCCTGATCAAACCAATTGAAACCTAGATATATCACAAATATGTGTTTATGATCAGACATCATGAAACCGTGAAGAAAGTGAAACCAAATCAATCAACCTTTAAGGAATTGACGGGGAACTATGTTCCAGGCTTTAACGAAACATTTGTTTTTGTACCTTCATTCGAAACTCCAAATCATATTCATTTCTTATGAGTGGTCTTGATCAAACATTCAAAACCCATGATGTTTGTTACCCAATAAGATCCAGAATACAAATTTTTTCTTGAATATGATTTCATTGTGAGTTTTATCAGAAATTCCATGTTACTTAAAAGTTTTTCAAAGCAAACTTGTCACTGACTACACTGGTCAAACAAGTAATTTCTGTTACACTTACTCACCTTATGTTTAGGTTGATATGTAACGACATTCATTAAACCACCTCAAAAGCCTTTTAAAAGAAGCCCTAGGATACGTATTTACAAGTATTCGATTGTAATTCACGGAAAAATACACAAGCTATTGATTATTTCTCTTGATAATTAACAAAGTAATCTTTTCCCGGGGTTTTAACAGCCTTCGTGTCAATTTTTTTTGACATCACTGACTATCCAATTTTTTTTGTTGCTTCTCATCTATATTCTTTGAAACACTACACACACGAAATCCTTGAGGTTCTGAGTAACACCAACTCAGGCTGATGATTTCAAAAATCTAGCAAATGACTTTACTTTGAAACCCTAATGTAAAAGAGCCAAACTTCCATCCGAAGTTTTCTGACGGTTACTATTCCATTGGGGCAAATAATCGAGCTTGTTTGAGGGGACGGTTTGTATTCTGTGTAGGTTTTGAGGAGATGTGACAGTTACTTTATCACACATGGTTACTTTTTCATCATCATGATGCGGTTTTCTCGGTGACACGTCATAGTTCACTAAATGCTCCTCCCGCTTTGATTTCAAAATCAAGAGTTACATATGAAAGGGGATTCAAGTGTTCTTTATCAGTTTATGCTTTCCAATTCCCAAATACTCTCTGATAAAAATCCAGCTCTCAAACCTTAACAACGGCGACTACTGCTAATCCTGATGCAACTCTTTCTCACACCACATATGATGTTACCTCATTGCCAATTTTGAAGATTCAGGGTACAAATTACCAAGTCGAGGAGAATGTTTCTCAATATCCTGAAGAACTTAAGATGCTAGTCGTTGCTCTGAAAAGCTCCGTACTGTCAAAAGCCATGTTCAACTCATTTTTCGTTTCTCTTTCATGGCTCTCTCAAGCTGGATCAACAGCTACTTATTCGAAAGCTTTGGATGCAGTTACGTTCAGTCTGGTGACTGATTAAAAGGTTAGACTCTCAAAGAAGCTTTTCTGTCAGATTCTCGATATCCATAATTCCCCACCATATGTCAATTTTACCTTTCCACAAATTGTACATTTGTTTAATGAAACGGGTCATCAACCTTAACTATCAAAGATAAGTGATTTCAAGAAGTCGGGTCTTACAAGTGTTTGGAATTTTTTGTTTGGCATTTTCCTAAGGTGTTTAATTGGAAGAACCGTTGGTTCGGACAAGGGGATAATGGAGGTTTATGCCATGGTAGCAGGCTTATATTATGATCTTCAACTCAATTACTCTACTTAGTTATGGAAAGAATTCTTGAAGAGTACTGAAAACACGAATGCTCTTCATGGCATTTCGTATGCCCGATACTGGAGCTTGATTTTACAATATTTCTATGAGAAGGAGGCGATTCTGGTTCCCACAGATGAAGAAAAAGTTGTTTTCCATGTGTATAGTTGTCCGAAGGATGCAACTAATGATACTGAAGAGTTTTTAATTGTTGCTCGTATTCCAGATGCCATGCTTAAACGAGTTGATCCTACCAACACAGTTTTAGTGACTTACTTGCAAACAATCGATACCCTATTGAAACTGGAATTCTTTTGGAAATAGAAGGAGAGAAGAAGTCCAAACGTTAGAAGAAGACTGCTGCTGGTTCTTCTGAGAAACAAGTCAAGGAGTCTAAATCTATGAAGATTCAAAAGAAGTTACCGATTAAAGAAGCAGAGCCAACAAAAAGTGAAGTTTTAGTTGCTGATACACCATCAACTCAAAAAGAAATCATTCATTTGAAGACTAGTGTTTTTCACAAAATAATGAAATCCAAACATAAGAGCCGATCTCCACTCACGAATGTTGTCCGAAAACCACAGGTTACTCATCAAGGACTTCTATTTCATGAGATTCCTAAACCTGCTTCACCGTCTTCAAAGAAACAAAGGGCAATTGATATGGCCAAACAAATTTCTAAGAAGAAGAAGAAAAGCAAAATGATCATCTCTTCTGAGTCTACTGCTGATGAAGATGAAACAATTCCAGAAACTCCAAAATCTGATATTTACAAAAAATCTTCTACTCCTGCACCAGAAGATGTTATACCACCCAACGATTCAGTTGCCAAGTCAGTTTCTGAGGAGGCACGAACTTCTGACATTCTTGTAAATGTATCTAATACGGATGCAAATGTCATCATGGGTGAGGATGCTTCGCATAAAGCTGACCAAGGTAAAACTTAGGATGTTACCTCAGAAATTGTTTTTTTGTTTTCCTCCACAACTCACACCTATCATTCCTATTACTTCCACCACTGATTCTCCTACCTTCGAAAACATTATCAAACAACCAATAACATCTCTTTCTTCTTGACAATCCACTAATCCACCCACCACAACTTCACCAATTCAAGATTCTATTTTTATGGAAACTGAGCATGAATCACAATTCAAGATTCTATTTTTATGGAAACTGAGCATGAATCAGAAGGTTTTGGAGGGATGTTTGAAAATTTGGAGTTTGATGAAGAAGAAACTGATTTCCCAGATCACATGCTAATTACCATGAAGTAGTTCAATATATTGAATACAAAGCTGAATTCAATTCTTCAATCACAGGAAGATCTTGGGGGAGGAAACTCAGTGACCAGTTTAGAAGTTGATGGTCTGTTAAAACTGCTTGTAGGGAGGTTTACTTCAAATGTTTCGGGAATGATGAAAGATTATGAGTCTTGTCTCTTAGAGAAAATTGATATTTGCGATCATAGCAATGAGGGTAAATTCTCAGAAGTCTACTTTTGAAGGTGATTTGAAAGAGTGAAAATTGGTGGCAAAGGAACGTCATGTCTTATTTGTTCAAGATGTTAAGAAGGTGAGAGAAGATGTGAATTTTAAGCTTCAAGATCTTCACCAAGACATGGAAAAAGAGATTGCAGTTGTTCGCACTAAATTTGCATCTCTCAATCAGAAGGTGGATATCATTTGTGATGTTGTAACAAAGTTTGCCAAGTTGTATGAAAGCTTGAGTCCTCAAATAGCTCAACTTTCTACAACTGAAAACAAGAATTTTATGGAAGTTTTCACACTGTTAAAGGAGCTTAAAGCCTTATCATCAACACCAAATTTGTCTTCTCTGCTATCTTCAGAAGATCTTATCAAGAAGTTTTCTCAATTCGAAGCCTTACTTCTCCAACAATTGGCTCCTCTTTCCCGTATATCCAGCCTTCTTCCCACAACAAATGCCCCACTTGCTAGTACAGGGGTGCAAGGGGGAGAAAGGAAAAGTGAAGGTTCGAAAGTTGGAGGTGATGATGAGAAAGTGGTGGGAAAAGTATTTCCTTCACAGATTCCAACAACAAAACCATTTATAGCAACTGTTGGTCCTGTTTCTTCGACAATAGTAACAACTGTGCCAATCACAAGACCAATTTCGAAAGGAATTGTGATTGATAAATCTGCTAATATTGGTGGGAGTGATTCGAAGGCAAAAGGAGTGATAGAAGAATCAGCTTCGAAGGCAAGAGGAAAATCAATTATGATAGAAAAATCTAAGGAAGAAAAGAAGGCAGAGGCTGAGGCGGAACTAGAAAGGATGAGACTGGTTCAAAGTAAAATGACTCAAAGGGAAAGTGATCCTCCCGGCATGAACAAAGGTGATCCATCAAAGCATTACAATTATGAAACAATTGAAACCAAGGTTTCATTTAATCACATGTATTCGTTCGAAAAGAAGCCAAAATAGAGTTACATTGTCACGAATACTAATGCAAGCCAGTTGGATTTTCCAATTAATGAAATGATGTTCATCATGCCCCAGTTTAAAGCCGAAATCAAGTTCAAGGAGAAGGATGAAGGAACTCACATGAAAATCAGGTTTCATGCAGTTCTTGCGAAAGCTGCTGAAGAAGTGTGGTCATTGACAAAGATAAAGAAGGTTATCAGCATAAAGAAGGATGTGGTTTTCGAAAACACAATCCAAATATGAAGTATGTGGTGACTAGGGGGAATGAGAATGTTTGTGAGTTTACAATTGCTGACTTTCCTTTAATGAACTTGTATGATCTTATACAAGTTGCATTATTGTTGAAGGAAAGATCTTTTTCGTATCTTCAGAAAACGGATCCAGATGAGTACATGCTGGGAGTTACCTACATCAAGATTTTTATTGAAAATTATTGTGAATGCGTAGCATTAATTGATGTGGAGTTGGCTACAGCTAAAGGACTGGAAATTACAGCACCCATGGCTCCTTCAAAGACACAAGCAAAATTAAAGAAGTATGCTGATGGTGAAATATGCTTAAAGCCATTTGGTTTAGTCTTCTCTGGGAAGGACATGTCTGGGAAATCAAAACGTTTTTTATTCCAGGTGAGTGAGGTAGAAAGGTACTTAACTTCGCAATATACAAACTTAATTGTTCGTATGAATCATTGTAAGAAGAATAATAATGGAGATAAAAAGAAACTGAAGAAGATTGTCTCATGGTACACGGAGATACGAAGAGTAATGTTGTACTCCATTCAACTGCTTACGAACTGATGTCTTCAACTCTGATTACAAAGGGGGAGAATGTAAGGGTAGTTTTGTTGTAATGAGTCGAAGCTTATTTTGTACTCTTCGTATGGTCTGTAATGTATTTTATTAGGTCTCTTTTGATTCAAAGCTTAAGTGTTTTAGCCTTAGTATATTTTTTGTACGCTTTATGTATTCTATAAATAGGATCATTTACTAGAGTTAGATAACTTGAACAATGTTGTCTATTCTCTCTGTAAAACTCTAAAACTTAATTGAGCTGAAGTGAAAATCTTATTCACATCGTGTGTTCAGTTACCAGTTCATTCTTAAACATATACTCTTATACATTTTATACTCGATTCTTTGATTCATCAATTGGTATCAGAGCAGGTCTTCAAGATCAAGGTGATTTTTGAAGAACGATTCTTGGTCTGGCAACTTTTTTCGCAATTTGAGCAATTTTGGTGAGTCTCTCTCTATGATCTCTCTTAATCTCATTGAATTGTGCGTTGCATTTTTTATTTGTGATCGTTTGACTCATTGGATCAAAATTTTCTTGAAAAACCCCATTGTTGATCCATTATTTATTTTAAAAGATCAAATCCAATAAAAAATAATTATGTACTGTTCATGTCCGATTTATTCGAAGCCCAAATCTAAATTTAAGCCCAAATTAGTTTGAATCCTGTTACTGTTCATGATTTGTTTGAGCCCAAATCCATTAACAAATAGATTTCCAGTCGTATTCATCTTTTCATCGATTCTTATTTCGTAGATCTCGTCTTATTTCATCAATCTGGTCGATCGATTTGGATGTGTTTGAGGATATAAATCTTGTGAATCGATTTTTAGTTGATATATTGTATCTCAAAGTCGATAATGACCAAGAATGTATCGATTCAATTTTTCTGTTTGAAGAAAAAAAACGATCATGAAATCTCAAATTCTTGTCAAAAGCTTGTTTAGATCAAGTCTTTAAACTTGTTTTGATTCGAAATTTGCTGTTAGAATCATCGATTTTGTGTTTATAGTTCTTTGACTTTGAAAAGCCAAAATGCGAAATCTTCAAATATGATATTATGAGGTTGATTTAGAAAACTGGATACTGAAATAGTTCAATACAAGTTGGGTTGCGGCTATAGATGATGGAAATCAAGTCTAATTTGGCGGATAAGTTCGAAAAAGCATGGATTCGAATTTTTGATGTCGATAACTATTTATACGTTTTTGATTGATTCTTAAAAGCTATTTCGAAATTGTTTGTCACAACTAGAAATTTTGGTGCGTTGTAACTACAACTCTTATAACAACTATGAGTCAATAACATGAAAACATGCATGATGCTTATCCTATAACAACAAAACTTCGTCAAATACTTCATTCTAACGCTACAAATGGTCAACAAAGAATTGGAAGCCTTTGAAATCCCGATTTAAGTCCATTTTGGACTAGGATTTCTTTATTGGGCCTAATGGACTAATAAACTTCCAATTCATCCATCTTGAATCTAGAACTCTATAATGGGCCCTAATTGGACCCATATACATGAAACTTAATACTTTTGGGCCTTAGGAGCCCAAAATACACTAGGTTAACTTTAATGGGCCTTAATGGGTCACAACCAAGTTAATTTATCCCTAATAAGACATAAAAATTATACTATGATTTATTTGGGCCAAAAATCACCTAACTTAACCATAAAATGGGCTTAAGCATTCAAGGCCCAATTTTCTTTTCTTCCCATCTCCATTCTCGGCCCAAACCAGAAAAGAAAGGAAGGGTTGAATTTTCCTATGCCACCTCATTTTTACATATTGGATCTCCATCCAAAGGTCTCATATTTCCATGCCACTATCCCATCACCTTTTCTCTTCCTCTCTCTCTTTTGCTCTCGGCTGAACACAACACACACACCTCACCAAAAATTCTCTCTAAACCACTCTCAAGATCATCTTCTTCTTCATCCAAAAATCTCGAAATTTGCTTGTGTTTCAAGAGGTTTTCATCAAGTAATTCATCATCTAAGGTAAGTTGATGACTAATACATGATCTAGCTACTTCATTTCATCAAAATGTCTTCTAAATCTATTCCAACTTGTGATATTGCACCTTAGAAGCCACTAAACTCGAGATCTACCAAGAAGACTTGCTAGGATCGAAATTTTCTTCTTTTCTCTCTTCAAAACCGAAACTACAACTCAAGGTGAGCTTCATACCCCTCTCTTTTCGTTTTTCATATGTTTTATGGGTGAGAATACAAGAAAATGTGTAGATCTATGTGTATATGTATGCTATGTGTGATTTTATGCATGTATGTGTGTGATTTTATGTGTTTTTGTGACAAAAACATAACCAAAAGGGATGTTAACTCTAGATCTATGACTTGAGAAAGGAAACAAACATAATATAACTTATTTTACACTAAACGAGTCAAGAAAAATAGCTTACAAGATTATGAGGAACATATTCTTACATAAAACCCAGTTTAGGGCTTAAATTGTCAAAAATATAAAACTTGGGTTAAAAACTGTCAAGTCACGATTTCTTGTGGGTCAAAAGAGTCAAAACAGTTTGTATAAGCATTTTTCTGAATATTAGAACTTCCAAAGGACTTGAAATGCAAAAATGTAGCTTAATGGGCTAAATTTGGGGTTTTCGGCCCAATAAGCCCATTATTGCGAAATTTTGAAGTTTAAAGGGGTTGAAATGTAGCATTCTGCAAAACAAGGGATAAGAAGTGTAATAAAACTATTTCAAAGGTCAAAAAGGCTTTTCAATTTCAAAAAGGACCAAAAATGTAAACGTTTTAGATTTTGGGGTAAAACTATAAAAGTAACAAAAAATGGGGTCTAACCGAGAAATACCATTCTGGAAGGGCTAAAGCTGTTAACAAAACTAATTTTGTGTTAAAACTCTCTTTTCAACAAGTTTATGATACAAAAGTGTCAAGAAAATGTTTTAAGGACTAAAAATGAAATTCTTTAGATAAAGGACTAAAAGTGTTATTTTTATAAAAAAAAAAAGGTAGTGAAAAGGTCAAAATCACACTTTTAAACAAA